TAAGATGTGAGTAGTTGTCTTGCTTTACAATTAAAAGAAGACAAGGGTGTCAGTAAGTGTTCTGGTTTTTAGATGCTTATTTTAGATATACACAATATTTATATTACTACTAGCTGTACCCGGCCACGTGTTGCTGTGGCAGATCGAGTGAATTAAGAAATTCTGTTAGATAATTAACTGCTTCATCTGCTTCTACAACAGTGTCGACGGACTTGTATGTGACTGCCTCCAGTGAATGTTAGACTGAATGATATTGTTAAGTTCGTAGACGTCTTTGTTCTTGGCCGCAAGAATAGCTCATTCACTCAGCCAATCGTGAGTCTTATAATTGTTTTGAATATTGGGAAATACTTTTTCAACCAATTATTCGTTTGACGTCACTAAATTGCAGATGTTATGAGGCAACGAAATTCGTCCTGAGGTCAGATCAACCGGCACCTTTCCGTTCCCAATTTCCAGCAATTGATGTGAGAATATCTCAGCTGATCGATCGTCTTGGAGCTGGACATGCATATTTGTAGTTAATTTTAACGTCTTTACGTGTCGCCACAGAGTAGAGTATTTCAGGCAAACATTTATTTCGTCCGCTGGTGTCAATCGAGGAATTACAGGTAATGTTTGCCTGAAATCTCCTGCAAGCAATATTAATGCGTTCCCAAATAGTCTGATGTTTCCACGCACATCTTGCAATGATCGATGAGGAGCCTCGAGCGATTATTTGTGCGCCATTGTGCAATCATCCCAAACAATAAGTTTGCATTTCTGCAATACCCTTCCCATGCCTGATCCTTTGGAAATGTTGCACATGGGAGTTTCAACGAATTACATGTTCAATGGCAATTTCAAAGCGGAATGAGCAGTTCTTCCACCCGGTAGCAATGTCGCAGCTATTCCAGACGACGCAAGAGCTAAGGCTATGTCATTTTGGGATCAAATTGCTGCCAGAATCAATCTAATTAGGAACGTTTTACCAGTTCCTCATGGCACATCTAAGAAGAAGAATCCTGCAACCCAGTTATTGACAGTTTGCATTATTTGATTGTATATGCCTTTTTTGCTCAAGAGTTAGCTTAGGAATATTTCATTGCACATACGACAAAAGATCACCCATGTTGTAATTTTGTTCATGACGCAATTCTACATTGAACGAAGTAGCAGCAGATCGATTCATGATGGCATTCCCAAGTGACTGAGAACTTTGCTCGAATTTCTAAGCACAAATCTTCAATCATTATCAACGCTTCGTTACAGATTTCTGCTGTGAAATCCATCTTCATATTGGAATTTTCCTTGCGTATTCAACGGAAAATATCTTCAGCCATGTGCTGCTTTGCTGATTCCGCGACTCCTACGCAACGACCCATTGTTATTGCGTTGTCTCTGTGGGAATGCTCCATGTATTCATCATAACCATGGAGATTCGATACAGTATCGCTATTGTTACTTCCTATGCAACGGTCTGTTCTAGCGTTTCCATAGGGGTGACTCTTCTGAATTCCAAATTCCAATTCCGGTTTTCAAAAGAAGCATGTTTTTACCTGTCACAGGTGTGACATGTATATAATAGGTATATAAAAACACGTGCGCATTTGAATGCAATGTTGTGTCAAAATTTCGAAGCAATCGGTGAAAAACTTTCAGAGATTTTTGAGGGGTAACAAACGAACATTTACATTTTTATTTATATAGATATACTAATCTTTATTTCAATTTATTATATAATTAATGTATGTTACACAAAACTCATTGATGACATTGTGTTTTAACTATTGAATTTTTAATTAATAGACTTGTATAAAACTGTACAAATTGTATAAGGTTTGCCATTACTTTTACTACTAAAAGTAACTTATTTATTATATTGTATATGTTTATATCAGTTGGACCGATTATGTGAGAAATGAAGAAGTGTTATTTAGAGTCAGTGAGCAGAGGAATATCCTACACGAAATAAGAAAATGGAAGGCTAATTGGATTGGTCACATATTACGCGGTAACTGCCTTCTAAAAGAAGTTACTGAAGGAAAGATAGAGGAGCGGATAGAATTGACCAGAAGATGAGGAAGAAGACGTAACAAGATGCTGAACGACCTTGGGGACAGAAGAGGATATTTTCATTTGAAGGAGAAAGCTCTAGTGGAGGAACTATTTTGGAAGAGACTGTGGACCTGTCATCTTGACAGATTACTGATGAATGAATGAATATGTTTATCAGTATTTTATATAAATGTGCATGCTATTGGATGACAACTGTAATCCTTAGTTGTGGCTGTAACTAGGATGATCTTCACATCCGCATGAGAATGTACTCTCGACGGGATTCATGGAAGGTGAATAAATGAAATGAAATGAAATGAAATGGTCAACTCACTTATAGCTCAACTGAACTGTCAACCCTCAACTGACTGTATTGCCCCAATTGTCTTCCTTATAACCACTTTGCACAGACCAAACAGAAAAAGCTGTTTCCAACATTAACCCTATTGTTGTATGGGGCACATGGTAGTGTAGTTGGTTGAGGAACCAAACAGGAAGGTCATGGGTTTGAAACCTGATGTGGTCACTGGAATTTTCTATTGACCTAACCTTCCCAGGTGCATTATGGCCCTGGGGTCAACTAGCCTCTAACAGAAGTGGGTACCAGTAATCTTCCTGGGGGGTAAAGGACATTTAACACATAAGGCTGACAACCTCACCACCATCTGTAGCTGACTGTCTAGAAAATATAGGAGCTTTGATGTCTCACAACCCTATGGGCCTTCACAGCCCATTATGGGGGTAGTTTTACCGTTTTTTTTTGTTGTAGACGCATGTTTACAGATGCTTCTTATAAACAGGTTGCATAAAGCAATTGTTTTATTGTTCTGTGGGTGTATATTGCAGGAGTTACCTAGCAACAGCCACTGCTTACAGAGTCACTGCTTAGCAACAAGTATGTACACCATAATACTATAAAGGTCTCTGCTCTTGCCAATAGCTTCCGAAGATTGGGCAGATCAGTGTCCTTGGCAGGATTTGGTAGTTCGGTGATGACTAGGGACCAGATTTTTATGCCCAAATAATCCCTCAAGTATGTAAGCATTTACACATGAAAAACTTCCAAAATATGCATATAAAAATGTTCAAACTAAATATTAAAATTGATTTTACATTATTTTAAGACCAAAGACATTTAAGGTAAATTTATGTAATCACTGAATGATTCACTTGCAATGTAAAGTTATACTTAAAAACAAATCATGCAACAAAGCCAACATCTGTTCATAAAATAAAAGTAGAACGTAAAGCTATCCCTGTAACAGGCCGTGAAGGCCCATAGGGTTGTGAGACGTTGAGGGTCCCACATTATCGAGACAATCGGCTCAAAGATGGTGGTAAGGTTGTCAGTCTTATGCGCCGGCCGCACTTTACTCCCCAGGAAAATTATTTAATTAATTCCTGGTACTCATTTCTGTTAGAGGCTGAGTCGACCCCAGGGTCATAGTGTGGCTGGAAGGATTAGGTCAAATGAAAAAAATCCAATGACCTCATCAGGACTTGAATCCACGACCTTCCGGCTTGTAGCATTTATTTTAATTCGCTTAGTGTGGGTTGCAGTCCAACTGGGTCCACTCGGAACGGCAGCCACTGATTGGCCTATTGTACCTGCCCCGGGTGATTATGATGATGATGGAGAATTTGGTGGAATGAAGATTGACAGGGCAAACCGAAATACTCAGAGAAAACCCACCCCAGTGCCACTTTGCCCACCACAAATCCCACTTGACCACAAATTTGTTCATAACCTGGCTTTTTTTAAAGAATACTGTGTGCTTTTTCATTTCCTACTTCACCAACTCCTCCAGGAACCGAATTCAATTTGGAAGCAGTGGTTCTGAATACATTTAATGACTGATTAAAAATAGTATTGCTATTGATTGCTTTCAGTGAGGAAATGGTGGATGGAAAATGAGACAAGCGGACATATGGGAAAGATAAGTTTCTAGTTCTATGATTTTTAGCACATCATGGGAGATTTGAAATGAAGATGCACACTTGGGATCAGATGTATGTATTCACAACATTCCTAACGGTTCCTAAATGTTCAGTATGACTCACTGCACACAGCCACGTAATCCAGGGCATTAAAATAACTTCTGGTGGAAGTGGAACATTCGGTGCTACTGCTTTAAAGGCTTCATTTCTATATGGTACTTTAACAAACATCAACTTGTCATCAAGCAGAAAATTTTGCACACATTTTTTCTGCAACACAGTGCAACCCATATATGTAAACCACTACAACTAGAACATCATGTTTGGTCAGTAACAATTGTGTTGACATCAGGCAAAATGAACTGCAGGTTGGCTGTTGAAACCCTTTTTACATCAGGATAATAAAGGTTAAACAAGAGTTCCAATGATTTAACATTCTACTTACAAGTAATCTGCAGGTTACCGTGCTCTGTGGTTACAGTGCTGCTTGTGTTCAGCTGTTTACCATCCTCTCTGGTCCACAAGACTGTGGGAATTGGCACTCCGACTGCCATACATGGAACAGTGCCATTTCCACTGATGTCAATTTGCACATCTGTTAAGAATGGGGTAGCATTTTAACATACAGTGTATATTCATATATATCTTAAGGTAAAAGGTGAAGTTATTACTTAATTACATAATTAAGCACTATGCCATGAAGTAATGTGAAAAAGTGAAAGCTGTCTTCCTTTCATGAACTCAGCACTAGGCGGTGAGCTGTTACTGTTGCACCCCAGTCGCTTTACCCCCAGGGAAAGAGGCCCTGGTACTGGAGGCTGGGTGGGCCCCAGAGCCAGTCTGGGCATTATGAAGCACAGAAAAATATCCTGCCCCTGGTCGGGAATTGAACCCAGTTGTCCAGTCTGTAGCACAGACACTATACTGACTGAGCTATCTCAGCTTCTCACATATATCTTAAGCTAAATTCAAATGTTTCTGACAATGGTATGTTTCAATAAACATGACTATTATTTAGATAGTGTCAATCGTGGACACAGGTAAAAGTCCAAGTGCTTAACGGACTAATAGAAGTTTCCTCCCCTAGGTTACTGCAATAGAGTAAAATCATTGTGAGTTTTTTTGGACACAGTGTTTCAAAAAATAAATTTCTTTTCATCATCAGGTGTAAGGAAATAGAATTTATACTTAGTTTCAATACCTGGATCAATGATGAAAGAAAGAAATCCAGCCTCCAAAGGACTGTGTTTAAACAACTGAGGGCAATGAATAATCTCCAAAATAAGTCACATTTTATTATATATACAGGATGTCCCAGGAGGAATGGACCAAACTTTGGGAGGGTGTTCCTTATGTTAAAGTATGTCGATATAACCCAAAACACCTATGTCCAAAGTTGAACAGTTACGGAGATAATGGCCCGAGAAAAGTGTGGTCTTCTAGCGGGTCCACGCACTGTACCTATCAGCTGAGAGGCCTTATCTATGTTTGTCCTTGAGTGCCGTGATTCACCCTAGCTGTACGTATGTAGTTGGCTTTATCAGAACGCGCAGTCAGCACGTTACATCAGCGCTTGCCATTCATGTGTCATGTATAGTGCTTGGAAACCCTAAGGACAATTATGACATGGCGAGCGAGTATTTTGTACTTCAATTTTATGGCTTCATGTCACTCACAAGTTAGTTTTATGTTACGTACATTATTAACATTACAGAATCCACATATTCCTGCCAGCTTTAATATGTATTTTGTAATCAACAAGTGTGCAACGGCGGTCAAAGCTTCACAATTCTCTGGCTATTATCTCTGTAACCGTTCAACTTTGGACATAGGTGTTTTGGGTTATATCGGCATACTTTAACATAAGGAACACCATCCCGAAGTTTGGTCCATTCCTCCTCGGACACCCTGTATATATATGGCGGCCCAGGTTTTTTCCTGGGGCAACTCTGATGTTTTTATGTCACATGTTACAGGTGGTAATGACGCCCTCCTCAGTGAGGTTGGCTGAACCACGGCTGTGTCTTGGTAGGGACGTATCATGGACCAGGGATGTGTTGGCACACAGCTTTGGGACACCTCCTTGTGGTCCCACCGGGCAACGACAGTCTTGGGGGTCTGGATCAGTATGACCTACCAGGGGCTGGCGGCTGAGTTCCCATAAAGGGCAATGGCATCATGACCAGAGCCTCCCACACAGCGGCATAATGACTCTTGGGTGTCACTACGGTGTACCCTGGATGAATGTGGAAGAGCACTCCTATGGGGTAGCTTTGGCTATTTGAGTTGTCTTCTTAGAGTACCAATAAGGTGCCGCAAGCCTTAGGGCTCAACACTCTAAAACGGTTTGACCAAACCCATGTGGAGGGGTGGGAATGGGGAAGCTTATAGGCCAACCCCAGGGGCGACTCTCTCATGCAGGTTACCCTGGTCGCAACCTCATGACCAACTGGTGTCGCACTCCCATTAATCATCTGGGATTTCCCTCTCCCCCCGAACAGGCACTCTTGGTCCTGGAGGCTTTTGAGGGTTGCACTTACTACAGGACCAAACCACCTAAGCCAAGGTGTGAGGCATTGTGCTGAGGACTGCATGGCACTGAGGTGGTAATTAGCCAGTGTCTTGAACAATCCCCTCGGGGCACCAGGCAGCACCCCATTGTATTTATGCCTTCCACCCATATGGGGTGCTGTGGGTGGCGACCTTTCAAGTACCCAACTCATGGGACCAAAATGAAAGGAACCAAAAAAAAAAAAAAAACGGTCATAAGGATTTTAAACTGAAGAGAGAACCCCCTCCAAGGGGATCCCTGTGANTGAAAGGAACCAAAAAAAAAAAAAAGAACTGGTCATAACGACCTCAAACTGAAGAGGGACCCCCCTCCAAGGGGGGTCCCTATGAGAAATGCTTCAGCAGGGGGCTGGAAGCTCTGGTGAACCACTAAGGGACCCAGATGCAGCCAGCAAACCTGCTGTTGAATTTTCAGCCAAAGGCAGGAACGAACCAGTGGTTCAGAACCTACCTGAGGCAAAACCAAAAACTCTACTGGGAGTCAGTAGTACCGACATATGACTACAGGGGGCTAGACCTCTAGCATACCTAGAGTAGGAGCAGGATTGGGATACATAGTCGCTGGAGTAGGTGGACTCCATCTAGTGAAAAGAGCCTTGTCTGGATGCACCAAATTGAAGTTGGAAAAGGCAAGAGCTGGGGAAAGCATAGCAGGAACTGGGGGCAGTCAGAAACCAGGAAATGCAGGCTCATCCATGCAGGGAGAAACCTCCACTGGTACCTTTAAGAGGCCAAGGTCGGAGGATAGTACCCCTACAGAAACAGCCATAACTCTGAAAAGGCCCAGGGACTCTAAGGGACCAGGGACTTACAAGGAGGCTCTGACCAACATAAAGGTAGCTATCTTCAAGGAAACTTATTCTGAGGACAAGCTTATCGAAGATGACCAGAATTTCATTCTGGAAGCACTGGGAGAGGTGTTACGTAGGACTTCAAAGGGAAAACTACTACACCTGAAATCCTACAGACTAGTGGGTGGTGCACTTATTTATGCATGTGCCGACCAACAATCTGGTCAATGGCTCACCAAAGCCATTGACAACCACAGCCTGGAATCAGGGGCCAGGCTGAAGGCTACTGATACCAGGAACCTGCCCAAGCCTGTTAACGTGGCTCTCCGGATTAGGGACAAAGTTGTCCAGAATCAGGAAGAGCTGCTGAAATGGATTGCAGACCTCAATCCAGGACTTCATACTGAGAACTGGACGGTACTCGATAGAAATCTTAGTTCCACACCTATGCCGCATATAGAGAGCCTGCATGGCATATGGTTTTATCTTTATGGCCTGAAGGCAAGTTAAGGTGACGTTTATCCCAAAGCCCAGGAAATTTGATTACACCGAGGCTAAGGCTTATTGTCCTATCAGTCTGTCATCTTTCCTTTTGAAAATGATGGAGAAAATAGTGGATAGGCATATCAGGAATGGGGTGTTGAGGACATATCCTCTACACCGAAACCAGCATGCCTACCAAACAGGTAAATCTACCAAAAGTGCAATACACAATGTGGTAACACGCATAGAAAGTGCGATTGAACACAAGGATATTGCCTTAGGAGCATTCCTTGGTATAGAGGGAGCTTTCGATAGAACCTCATTTGATATTGTGACGTGTTGCGCTATGGATAGCGCCCCTCCCTCCATGCCAGCCGTGATGTGCTGAGCGGAGCCAAAGTGAGCCGGGTCCCAGTACGCTGGTTGCTAAGCGAAGTGAGTAAACAGCGGTTGCTAAGCAAAGCGGGTAAACAGTGGTTGCGAGAGATGACGGTAATAACAGCAGTGCCCATTACGTAACAGGCAAACATGGTGTCAGACAACAGTGGTGCCTATTACGTAACTGTTTTCCCGTTGTCCGGCTGAGAGTTTATAAGAGACCTACACTGCCTATGGAGTCATTTAAGTGTATCAGTCACCGAAGTGAGTTCTCCAGCCAGCAGTGAATGAGTTAGTGTGTGATCAGGAGTGACACAGTTGGAGTATAGCAGCAGTCGCGGAAAGAAGAACCGGACGTGTGTGTGATTGTGAGTGTGTGATACAGGGACACTTACATAGCTCCCGTACTGTGAATACGTGTAGACTATTGAAGATAGAGTGAACAGATTATTGCAAATAGGGTTATAAAGTGTGAAACCCCGCAACAGTGCAAACAGATTATTGCGAACAGGGTTATAAATTGTGAAACCCCGCAACAGTGTTATAATCAATTGTAGTTACGACTTGTAGGTTGTTAAATAAACCAATTAACAATCGGAATGGCGTCTTCAGTAACAAAACACGTTACAATATAATGAAACAGGCCACTGGAAAGCATTGCACAGAGCCTGCAATATGCAGGTGGATCAGTGCTATGCTGGGAAGCAGAACCATAGCTGCCACACTATCAGGAGAGACCCTGGGGGCTTCCGCGTCTAGGGGGTGTCCGCAGGGGGCCGTGCTTTCGCCTCTGCTGTGGAGTCTGGTCACTGACGATCTCCTGTGGGGACTTAATGATGATGGGTATTATACAGTAGGATATGCTGATGACACAGCAATCCTCATAAATGGAAAATTCCTTTTGACAGTATCAGAGTGTCTTCAGATAGCTCTGTACACGATCCAACAATGGTGTGAAAGAACAAGCCTAATAAGATGGTAATTATACCATTTACCAGGAAGAGAAATATTAAGGGCCTTTAGGAACCGACCCTCTTCCATGAGACAATCCAGCTCTCCAGCGATGTCAAGTACCTTGGTCTAGTATTAGACAAGGGATTGACATGGAAAAAGCAGCTGGATAAGGTCATCAATAAAGCCTATAAGGCTTTTTGGACGTGCAGAAGCATGTTTGGTAAAACCTGGGGACTGCAGCCGCACGTTGTGCATTGGTGTAACTGTGGTTATAAGACCCATAGTTACATATGGCGCCACAGTATGGTGGTCCAGAGTTAAACTCAAGAGGAGCAGGGCAGAACTTAGCAAATTTCAAAGGTTGGCTTGCTTGGGTATCACAGGAGCAATTCAAACATCTCCAACAGCTGCACTGGAGACACTCCTTGGACTCCCCCCACTGCATATACAGTTGGAGGCAGAGGCCAGGGCAGGAATCTACCGTCTCCAGTGCAGTGATCATTGGAAACCTAATCCGATAGTTTCAGACATGCATACATAACTCAAGACATGAAAAAAAAACTCATATTACAAATGGGGTCTGACAAAATGATACTGAGACATGTATATGAAAAACCATTCACGGTCAGATTTCCTGACAGGAGTTAATGGGAAGACAGGTTTCGGCCCGATAGAAAAGGGGGACTGATCTGGTATACAGATTGTTCCAAGATAAATAAGGGCACTGGAGCTGGTTGTGTACTGCTATGGAATGAGGCGGAAACTTAGTTTCAGCCTTGGGCAGTACACGACAGTATTCCAGGCAGAAGTATATGCCATTAAGGCGCCCCATATACACACAGTTTGGCCTCTCCCTTCCCTTCCCCATACATGTGCAGATAAACCGGCAGGCTTCATGCCACAGTCACGGTCTTCCAGCCTCTATTGCTGAGTCACACACGTCACATGCTACGGTCCTGCAGGTAGAACTGACAGACTGATGGGTTTTCTACAGGCCAACAGTCCAAATGATTGGCCGGCTGGCCGCAGCACACACATCAGTTTTGCCTTTCAGCCTTCAACTGTGCAGGCTGAACGGGAGGCCAAACTGTGTGTGTATGGGGGCCCTAAGGCATGTATTATGGAGAATCTAGATAGGAACTACAGAAATAGGAACATCTACATTTTAACTCACAACCAAGTTGCACTTAAAGCGCTTGACAAACACCAGATCAACTCAAAATTGGTCTGGGATTGCCATCAAACCCTCACGAAACTGGCCAAACATAACAGGGTACAACTGATGTGGGTGCTAGGGCATGAAGGTATTGTTGGAAATGAAATAGCAGACCAATTGGTCAAGACTGGAGCTGAACATCCATTCATAGGACCTGAACCAGCCTGTGGCATCTCTATAGGAGTTGCCAGAAAGGAAATCAGGGTCTGGACAGATATGAATCGCAAGAAATACTGGGGGTCCTTGACTGGACTCAGGCAAGCAGAGGGACTCATACAAGGGCCCTCTACTGAAAGAGCGAAGGAACTGTTGAAATTAAACAGGAACCAGCTATGATGGGTGGTAGGACTACTTACAGGACACTGTCACCTCAAAGGACACCTGTTCAAATTGGGACTAAGTAACAGTCCAACTTGTGAGAGGTGCCGAGAAGAAAATAAAACAGCCACACATATCCTGTGTGAATGTGAGGCCTTAGTTTATTTAAGATTGTGCCACTTGGGTTAATATTTTATGGAACCAACTGACTATTTTGACATCTCCACGTATAAAATCCTAAGCTTCATTTGAAGCGCAGGATTGTTGAGGGGATAATCAGAAGGGGAGGCACAATAGATCACTGTGGTCACAGTGCAAGGGCCAAGAAGGCCCACCCCTTATACATTCATTCAATATATATATATATATATATAGTGGCATGTAGACCCGTTGCTGTGCAAGGATTGCGAGATAAACAAAATATACAACAGCTATTACTGAGTAATGGTTTTGCAAACAAATTCATGGCAACAATTGGATGCAAAAATAATGGGCTCTGCCAGCAGACATGAATATAAAAATGGTACAGCAACATAGGAACGGTGTTTTCTACATGGTCCATGCCAATATCTTATGAGTAGGAAAAGTGTGGCATTCAGTTCAGTTAGTGGAATGGAATGAGTTGGTTGGTTAGTAAGTTGAGAGTTGAGAATTGGAGCAAGGAGTTAAGTAAGGGACGGTTGCTAGCCACTAAGAACGTGAGTATGGAAGCAGAGGACATTGTTGGGACCCATCACAAGGCAACGACTGACAAAGACACAACAGACTGAGAAGACTTAGTCCATGCTGTAGTGAACTGCAGAGTGTGTCAATAGTGCTATAGTTACTTGTAGTTACGATCTGTAAGTGTTTAATAAATCAAATTACCACTCTGAACCCCAGCTAGAGTCACTCATACATGTGACAATATTTGCCTGCATAAGGCAGTACTTGTATAGCTTGACTACACTGAGCAGGGCTCTCCCTATGAATGTATATGGATCCAGGTAAGCGAGCCTAAACACGACCCTTTATGTTGTGAACAAGATGATCATATAATCACGATTCACTGAAGGTTTTAAAAGAAACTTTCATTCCATGAAAGACAAAAAGGTAAAGCTGTTTCTTTACTTAATTAATTAAACACTATACCATGAAGACATACTGGGGAGTGGAGGTATAGCTCCACCTTTCTTGACCTCAACACTAGGTAGAGGTGAATGGTCAACTTAATGTTCTCGCCACCTTATTCCTCAGGGAAATCGTCCCTGGTACCCACTGGATAGGAGACTGGGTGGGTCCCAGAGCCAGTCTGGAAGCTACAAGAGAAGCGAAAGATCTTGCCCCTGCCAGAATCAAACCCTGGCTGTCCAGCCTGTAGCCTGTAACTTTACCGATATAGCCATCCTGACTCCACTTTCATTCCACAGAAATATTAATTTCTGATGCTAAATAATTAGACAGTTAACCATTCAAAAAAAGATGTGGATCATTTACATGCCTCTTGGAAGGTGTACTATTTGTGGTGGCAGTCCTACTTGCAAAGAAATTACATCAATGTCCACTCCCAGCTCATTTTCAGCGATACATATATATTCTCCATTGTCAGTCACTTGCGTGTCACTGATCAGCAGTGTTCCATCTTCCTGCACCTGTAATTATTGGGAATAATAGAAAAAATTATTAAGGCCTGCTCTGCTTTGTAGGCAACATATTCAAAACTCTACAGTTCATCTGCAAGAAATTTCAGTGCATTAACACTTTAAAATAGGCCACAGCACATGTACAATTGTGCTTGTCTTGCCAGGAAACCAGTGGTCATATACGAGGGAGTACTCAAAAGAAACTGAACTTATTTTTTTTTAAACTTATTTATTCAAATTTTAAGCACAAACCTTCAATCCCCTTCAAAGTACTCTCCACTTACACTAATACACTTGTCTAGTCTTTTATTCCATTTTTCAAAACATTGTCTAAATTCATCTTTTGAGATGCTTGACAGCGCCTCTGTCGTTTTTTCCTTCACCTCAGCAACATCAGCAAAATGCTTTCCTTTCATGTCTCTTTTCATTCGAGGAAACAAAAAAAAGTTTTGATCATTTCGGGACTCTTCTTTCAAAGCACAGCATGCTCCCACGCGACCTTGTTTTTGTTCAGCAGTCAGCAGTTGTGGCACGAATTTTGCAGCCACCCTTTTCATTCCCAAATCTTCTGTCAAAATTTGCTGAACTGAGCTCCAAGTCACTCCCGACAGCTCCACAATTTCTTCAATGGTCCGTCATCGATCTTCCTTGATGATTTCACGAATTTTTTCAACACTTTCATGTGTTCGGGCCGTGGAAGGACGACCAGAATGAGGTTTGTCATCAATTGACATTTCACCATTTTTGAAATGGGAAAACCACTCAAACACTTGAGTTTTCCCCATAGCATCGTCCTTGTACGCCCTTTTTAACATTTCAAGAGTTTCTGTTCCACTTTTCCTGAGCAAAAAGCAGAATTTCACTGCCGCACGCTGTTCACGAAAATCAGCCATTGCAAAAACGACGATCACACAAAACAGTTGTCACTATAAACGCTGCCGAAACTAGTCCTTACCTTCTGAAGCAACGGTAGTCGGCTTATCGACTCAGGAATGTTAGCTTTATGCGCTCATAGCGGCAAAACGTGGTACTACAAAAGCTCTGCCCACAAAAAAATTAATTCGGTTTCTTTTGGGTACCCCATCGTACATACCATTATACTAAGAATATTTTGCCATAGGCTTCAATGATATACAGTCAGAGAATATTCCGTATTACTTATGTCATTGGTATCACTCTACATTGGAACATTACTACATTTAACTCTTTATTCTGTTCGTCAGTGTAACATTTTCCTTATACATGTGAAAATGTCACAGTTTTTATGCCAGAATTGATGAAATTATTGTGATGTGTATACTTATTGCTAGGCAAGGACTCAGTAAACACATTCCTGAGCGAGCAACAGGATGTCTATTGCTAGGCAACAGCATGGTAAGCAAGCCTCATCAACAACACAGGGTGTTTTCTGTGTTGTCCATAACAAGTGGTTATAAAAGAACACAGTCAGAAGACATGACCAAGTAGAGAACAGTAGTTGGAAATAGCCAGCCTGCCAGGATATGAGCTTGGGAGCAGAGAAATTGAACTGAGTTGAGTCTTCGGAATTTGGAGTTGCAGAATAATGGCAAGAAATTAATTAGGCTGTGAAAAGAAGACTTCATGTGTGAGCTGAAGTGACAGTGAGACTGTTCTAAATCCGTTGCCAGGATACAAGAGGTGAAGACTGAGAATCCTAGTGCATATGTAATGGTGAACTGGGAAGTGTGAAGAATAGTGATAGGGCTGCATTACCTATACTCACGAGTTGTGAATGTATAAGGTGCAATAAATCCTATCATCAAATCCCAAATCCTGTCTTATAAGTCACCCCAACACATGACATTATAATTTATTTCTCTATGCCACTTAAAATCCTCTGACACACAAAAAATTGACATTTAGGTGGCACTGGTTACAGAGTGTTAGCTTGATTCGTGTCTCACAAAGAGCAACATACATTTCTTTTCTCATTTGAGAGGCAGATGCTGCATCATCCTGCTGGGCCTGTACATTAACACATTTACTGACAATTCCATAAGTAAAAGGCACGCAGTAGCTTAGTCGGTTGAGGGGCTATGCCACAAGCCGGAAGGTAGCGGGTTCAAGTCCTGATGAAGTCACTGGATTTTTTTCAATTAACCTAATCTTTCCAGCCGCACTATGGCCCTGGGGTCGACTCAGCCTCTAACAGAAATGAGTACCAGGAATTAATTAAATAATTTTCCTTGGGAGTAAAGTGTGGCCAGCACATAAGGCTGACGACCTTACCACCATCTCTGAGCTGGTTGTCTAGATGTGGGATCCTCAACGTCTCACAACCCTACGGGCCTTCATGGCCTGGTACAGGGATAACTTTTCTTTACTTTTACTGACAATTCCATTACCTAATACACTGTGTTTACTGCCTGCCCCTGGAGAGTGGACAGGTTGATGGCTCAGTGTATATCAGTAGCATCCAAACTCTACACAGTGGCCTTGACTCAGCTTAATAAAGATGTTATCATCATTCCCCATCTTAACAAGTGTGCACTGAAAGAACAGATGTTCCAGTTTTCATTTTTAAAGTCAACACATTTTAGGTTTTCATTAAACACACACATAATTAAATAATCAATCTGTGGTATTTTAAGAATTATAATCAGTTCAATTTTAAATATAGCTTTCCCAGAATAATCTGTGTCTCACCTAACCAAATAGTACTGTCCCCTTCCCTTGGGGGTGTGCCCCACATAAAAAATGCAGAGAGAGACTTATGTGTGGTTTCTCAAAGCTCAAAAGAGTTACAATATACAGCAATTTTTTCTTGTTTTTCATTTTGTTTTCATTTCTTTTCAATTTCAAATGTATTACATTCAAAATTCAGTTTTATGGAAAAAAATGCCTTCCCAGCAGGTAAAACTGCAGTAAAGACAAAGTTGTTCCTATGCTCAACAAATTATGCACTATGCCATGAAGATATATGGGGGAGTGGTTGTATAGACCCACATTTTCTTGACTTCAGCACTAATTTAACCCTTTGACGTGGTCATTTAAATTCCGCGGCCGCGGCTCCTGCGGTAATATATTCAGCCGGCCATTTAAATTTTGCTCGAAAATTATTTATTCATCATTGTTCTTAAATTCTATGAGATAGGAACATGAAACTTTCACTAAAATGATCTTAAAAGGTGGTTTTATAACCTTACCTTATAATATGAACCCCCTTTATATCTTCAATGGAAGCAGGTTGTTTAGTATTTGAGCAGTGAATGGTACGCTTTGAAGGATGAAACTTTCACTAAAATGATCTTAAAAGATGGTTTTATAACCTTGCCTTATAATATGAGCACCCGGTATCTCGGCTATGTAAGCAGGTGACGCCTTGAAGCATTAGTCTAAACACAG